GGTCCCTGTGCTTTGCTAAGCTTGTTCTAAGTAGGTGCTTTAGACCACTGAGCCATCTCACCAGCCCCAAAATTTTTCAAACTTTTGAGATAGAGTCTCTTACTAAGTGGCCCAAGCTGGGCTCAAACTTGGGATCCTCCTGCCTCAGTCTCTCACAGTGCTAGTGTGTGTTCTACCATGCTTGGCTGAAACCTGCAATGTATACAGTTATGGGTTGGTTACAGGTGAAATACATACTTGTTTTGAGGGCCTTGTATGGGAAAGCCTTCTCCTTCCACAATTTTTTTTTTTTAAACTGGCCTATTTCTGTTCAAAATTCTGCAGCCATAGATTTATTTTTTTGGCAAAGCACTGCCCTTCTGAGATTCTTCTTTCTAAAAGAGGAAGTCTCTGGGGGAGGTAGCACAAGGAGTTACTGGAGTTTTAGCAGCTGCTAGATATAGTCTTAATTTTTCTTTGTCAGACAGGGTCTGGCTAGTTGTATAGTGCAGGCTGACCTTGAACTCACTAAACAGCCCAAGCTGACCCCAAACTCATGATCCTTCTGTCTCAGTTTCCTGAGTGCTAGGATTCCAGGTGTGACCCCCCTACACTTGGATGAAAATGTTTTTCAATTGACAGATAACTAGATGTATGTATTTGTAGGACATTGTGGTGTGTGTGTGTGTGCACGCGCGCACACGCACATGCATGCCAGGGATTGAGCCCAGGACCTCGCTCATGCTAAGCATGTGTTCTACCGCTGAAGTACATTCCCAGATAGATGTTTTCATCAAAGGGGAGATGACACCTTGGGTGCTGTGGTGCCAACAGTGGGGGGTACTTCAGGAGACAAAAAAAAAATAAATGTGAGGAGAAGCCAGGCATGGGGGTGCATCCCTGTAATCTCAGCACTTGGATGGCTGAGGCAGGAGGATCTCGGGGAATTTGAAGGTCAGCCTGGGCTATATATAGTGAGTTCAAGGCCAGCCTGAACTGTATAGCGAGATCCTGTCTCAAAAAAAGAAAAGGAAAGCTAGCTAGCTAGCTAGCTAGGTGAGGAGAACCAAGATAAGGTAAAGCAGTCGATCGAGTACTTCCAACATGCCAGGCAGTTTTCTTGGTGTTCCACTGAACTCTTACTTGCCTACTAGCTCCACAAAATAGATTCTGTTATCATGCCCATTTTACAGATGAGGAAGTGGAAGCTAACAGGAGATAAGTTGCCCAGTGCTGCACGGCTAGTAAGTGGAGTCCAGAGTTAGGATTGGAACTAATAGTTCTTATTTTTCATTATGATATATGGCGTGATTAAAAAAAATCAAATGTTTAAATTCTTTGAAAGAAGGGGCTGGGGAGATGGCCCAGTGGGATAAGCACTTCCCTGGCAAGCGCAAGGGCCTGAGTTCAATCCCCCGTTCTGCCAAAAAAATTAAAAATAAATAAATAAATAAATTCTTTGAAAGAATATATTACAGTAAAAGACGTTGCCATTAATCCTCCGGGAAACACTCCCCCTTGCTTCAGACATGTATCCCATTATCCTTGCTGCTTTTTGAAGCAGTTCTGGAAGTCTTCCATGAGTGGTGAATTTAGTTGTGCTATTGTGGTTCCTTTGGTGTCCTGAATTGGTAACAAAACATTTACCCTTCATAGTCATTTTGACTTTGATGAAGAGCCAGAAGCCCATAGATGCCAGATCTTGTGAACAGGCTGACGACACAGTGATGTTTTTAGGGTGACCCCCTCCTTTTGTGTTGCATGACACAAGTAGCATTCACTGTATTTTTGATCACAACTTGTAAAGACACTCATGAAAAGGGACTGCCAGAGCTGCTTCCGAAGGTGTAACAGGCAGTCGGACAAGTGTGCTTGAAGTGAGGGAGGGTATTCTGAGGGGATTAACAACAGAGTGACTTTTCCTGTAATTACACTTAAGCACACTATGTCTTAATCCACCTGTGTGTTACCTGGGGGGTCCCATGTGTGCTCGCAGACTGTAGCAGGTGTCACCGTTCATTACAGCAATAACAAGGTCAGCAAAGGGAACAGGCATAAGCGATCAAGTTGGGGGAAGCAAAGCAGGAACTTGCAGAAGTCAGTCTCCTAGGATTTCACAGGACCTTGGCAGATCCCAGCAAGAAGCAGGGCTACAAATGGCGGAGGTCTGCCAGGGACAGTTGTAAGAGTTCAGAGCCTGTGGTCTTTGTGGTGGTTTTAACTGGGAGCTGATCTGTCTACTACTGACCAAAATCCCAGATTCCCTGAAAGGGAAGGTGTGCAGCAGCAGTTCATGAGGGACAGTGAGCCACTGTAGTCCATTCTAAGATTGTGGAAATTTATGTTCCCAAATGCCGCCGAGGGCTGACCTTGTAGCAAGCAGGCCTGAACAGGATACCCGGCTCAGGTTTACTGTTGGTCTGTTCTGCCCAGACCTATTTTCTACTACGTGGTGGTTTTATTTATGTTTGTTTTTGTCCTTGCAGCACTGGGGGTTGGACCCAGGTTTGTTGTCCCCCCCCCC